ATGTTCATTCTGCAGAACATTTCTATGTCATATAAAGTTTTATCCTAAAAATTTTACTTACTAAATAATAAACTTTCAATTTTGAAATTTCTTCAGTGTAAAGATTGAGATTCAGTCGTTCATCGCTTCATTTATGTTGAAACAGATTTTGGCTACTGATTGCAAAAAAATTATTTATTGCTTTTTATCACCGCTTAGCGTAATTATAATTTATTTTAATCATATTGTACTTTCTTTTTATTTTTAAAAATAATCACAAAAAATAGGTTGGCTTAAACTGTATTTGGTATTAGCAAAGACTGATAATTATTATTAACTTTATGCTCAACTAAAGCGTTATTTGTAAAAAAACAAATGAACAATGCGCTGAGAATAGCTATTCTTAAAGACTATAAGTTTTAGATTTTACATAAAAAAAGGAAACCAGTATATAGTTGGTTTAAGTCTTATGACTGTCTCGGCACAATGAACACCGCTGATCTGAGGTCTCGTATGACATTTGAAATATTCGATCCTGATGACAAGTGTGTAACCAAAATGGAAAATCTGGATAATTATCGTACTTTTTTTGGCATTATCTATACTCTACTTGCAGTATTATCCTTGGCTTGCTTAATTATTGTAACTGTTACGCTCTATGTTATTAATCGTACCAGAAAGATTTTGGCATACGTATTCATAAACTTTTTGAACATTACGCAGTTAATTTACATGTTGCCAACGTTTGTCATTGTTTTACCGTGTACACTTACTGATTGTCAGTATTATACGGATCGTATAACAATGATATTTGCTTGGCCGGACACTTTTGGTTTTTATGCCGGTGCTGGAATCAACTGTCTTATTGCCCTTGAACGATTGTCAATATTTCTGTTGCCGTCATCGCATAAAGTTCTTGAAAAATATGCAAAAGTTTGGTGCTCAATTCCATGGCTTATTGGCATTGCTTTTCTTGCTTTTACAAATTCTATTACATGCCACAAATGGTAAGCAAAAGTTTTTACATTTTTTATTATATCAATATTTCTTTTGCAGTTAACCTATTAAAAAAATTTTATTTACAATTATAATAACCTTCAGTAATTTTATTAGATAATAAAATTGCAGTTAAAAATTATTTCACTAAAAAACACTTTTTTTAGGTACAATAAATTCTCTATGCAATACACTTATGAATGCGGAAATTGTACCATTTTTAATACAGTCAATTTGCAGTTTGTTTTTTTAACTTTTACACTTAGCATATTTGTTATTATGGTTTGTGGATATGTTGTTGTTGTGATTGCAATAAAACGTAAACGGAAACTACACGGTATTTCATCGGGAGCTGGTCCAGAAATTCAGTTAGTAAGTATTTACCGGCTGTTTCATATTAGCAGCTAAGACGCAAAAATGCATTACGTGTTCAGCGTCGTAATATAACAAAATTATGATAACAGATTTTATTCTTATATATAGCTTTTAAAAAAGTTAGCGTAGGCTGAAAAGCGACTTTTATTTAACATTTTAATGTAATTAAATTATTGCAGCTTGTACAGGGATGTGTAATTTGCTTTGCTCAATGGTTAAACTTACTCTTCATCTTTGTTATGCCACTGTTTTTTGGAAATAATTTATGGGTAAAAATTTTATTTTTTTTTTCTCAACGATCAATCAAAGAAATTTCATTTGCTAAAAATTTTTACCGATAGCTAATGACATAAAAATTTTATTACAATTCAATAACATATCAATTTTAATGGCAAGTAAGCGTTTGTGACCACAAAAGTACCGCTAAAAAAAAAAAAAACAAGGCAAGATACAAGAAAAATTTTTATATTTTATATTCTTCAGTATAAACTGGCTATATTCTGACTTCTTCCGCCGTCGAAGCACCAGTTTCAACTTGTTCGTTTTTTTTTCAGATATCATTTTTCAAGGTTGTAGTTGGTATCGGAAATGTTGGTCTTCAACCCTTTGCCATTCTAATCTTCAACAAAACAGTTCGAAATGGCTTTATATCACTTATTTCTCTTAACCGGCGAAGAGTATTTATCTTGAACAGTGTTCAAGTTGCAGTGTCATAAAGGCCTCTCCAGTTGCTAAACGATAATAATTTAGGTGTCGTTTATTAAGCGAATAAATTAAAGAACTCAACAATATTCTGAAACAAAAAGTATCAGAAGTCGATTAAACAAAGTTATTTTGTTGATAATTGCATTGTAATGTTATGTAATCTGTTTTTAAAATGAAGAATAAAAATAGCTAGTTTAGAAGGGATGGTTTAGGTAATGTCTTCTTGTTCAACAATAAATTCGAAACTATAAACGGTAGCTGGCATGAAAAACAATTTCAATAGAACGTTTACTGTATTTAGTATTTCTTTCGTTTTTTTTTTTTTTGATTTTTATTTTTTACCCATTTGCAAATACCAGTTTTAAATGCCGTATCTGTCCAAAATGCTGTGAGATGCTCAGTACTGACGATAAATTTCTGCAGTTTCATCTTGGATTACATTAAAAGCTTTGAAAATTTTGTTTTTATGTCATCACTTCTGAAATATAAGTTTTACATTGAAACCGTAACTGAACTACTTTGTCATCTGTCGTTGATGAATGAAGTGACAATAAAGAAAATAAAGAAAACGTTGATAACAGTAGACGTATTACCAAAAGACACTGTCATAAATTTGTTTTGAAATGTCTTCCTTAAATTATTGCTCTACAGAAAAGACAAGTCGTTCTTAAGTTAAAATAGAAAAGAAAGGGTAAGATGCGCCAAAAACTGAGGTATTTAGTCAAAATTTTTTGTTCTGTTTTATGTTTAAATTTTGAAAAAATGCTCAAAACAAATGTCTTCTTGTTTTTCAATAATTACTGACTATCTTTTCTAAACTCAATATGCTTGTATAGCTTTTTAGTTATTGCTGTTTATAGATTTCTATACTTTTCTGGAATCTTACAAATTAAAAAAATAGCCACTTTGCAGACTGCTTACAGCTGAAAAAACTCATTTTACAATACGTCTACTTTAGCCTTTAAGCTTTGTTGAAGAAGACGTATACAAACTACAAAATCATTAACTGCATTCTACTGAAATACGAAAACTTTCAATTGTTTTTGTGTATTTATTGCAATACGTCGAATTATTATTAGTAAGATGTTACCTAGACACTTTCTAAAGCTGTAATAATAAATAATTAAACCTGAACTTTAATTCGACTGGGTAACTCAAAAGTTGTGATTTGCAAGTAATTAACTTTTTGTAAAATTTTTCAAAATAGAGTCAAATATCAGAGCTATAAGTGTTTATCAATTACTGACTAAGTGAAATTATTTGGAACAAGGTATTCTGCTAAAGAAGTTTGACTGTTGTATCCGGTGAAAATTACATTTTTTTCCTCATTTTCTGCGGTTATCCAAGCAGCTATAATACACCTTAATTTTCGTTTGTTACTTACAGTTTTCAATTTGTAGGATAAAGCACTAGTTCAGCAAAAATTTAGGACTGCACTCGTCGTTATCTATTTATTCAAGACATAGATTACAATTTTTAAAGTGTTTTTTTAGACTCAAAAGACAGTATACTCTTCATAGCAATAGTTGCCTAGCTTCTAGCTTAACAAAGTCTAACCTAAAATTTACGTAGCTGTTTGATTACGTCAAGTCTAGATTTTTTACTCAAGCAGCCTGTGCAAAGATAAGTAACATTTACATTAATTAGCTTAATAAAATGACGTCTGCAGGTTGTGTTTCCAGAAAACACTTAAGGTTTTCGCTTTCAGCTGTTTTACTAAGAGTTGTCAGAAATGAAAATACGTAGGATGAAACATTTGTCAATGGAAATTAAAAATCTGTTGCATCTTCAACAATAAAAACCAGTGTGTAAAACATGAAAACTCAAATATTAACAGACTTTTTCAACATTCTGAAAGACTAAAAAATTGTGGCTAAAATCAGAAAAAGTTACTACTGCTAGCTTTTTGTACAAAGTGCGAAGAGAAATAGAAAAACAGAAGTGCCAATGATCAGACTTTCACAACTAAATCTGATTTAATTAAAGAGTTAAATGTTTTAATGGAATTTTTGCTTTGTCAGCTTACTATGCGATATGAGTTGAGAAAAGTAGACTAAACGAATATTATTACAACGGTATATCTGAACCAAAAATTCGTTGCTATATCACAGCCTTACTTTGAAAATGCTTTTTACAGTAACGAAAAGACAATATTTTAGAAGCAGTTTTTTTGATTTAATTGTTGTCCGGAAGAAATTTCATGCTTAGTTTTACTGTCTTTATAGTTTGGTTTTCAAATTAAATGTTTAGAATTTTTCATATAAAGCAAAAAGTGTATTTTGTAAAAATTTTAAGTTTAGCAAGCAATAAAGATAAAAAAGAAAAACTTATGTAACTGCAATAGAAACTACTAGTAGTGAGTAAAAAATGTGGAGAGAACTACACGTTAGTAACGGGATGTTATTTATGGGTGAACTATGAAACAAAAAGATTTTCAGTTGAGTAACCAAGGTCAAAATAGAAAATAAAAAGTAGATGAAAAAAGCCAATCTTTATCACTTAAAAAAAAAATCAAAACTTTGTTATGCAAAAACAGCTTAGTTTTTTCAGCAATTTTTTCTTATTTTAGCCTAAGAGCATTTGAAAATAAAAAAACTTTAAACATTTACGGAACAATAGAATTATGAAACTGATCTGAAAAGTTGTTTATTTGCAGAAGATCAGAGCATTGTAGAACCTTAGAATAAATTTGAATGATCTCAAGTAGACATGGGTAAGATAAAATATACAAAACTGCTGAAAAAATCCTTAAAGTACCGTAGACTTCCTAAAAAGAGAAAAAGGCAAGGATTTTTTGTTTTAATCAGTGTCTGGAAAATGATAAATGACTGAGAGAAATGTTGCATTTGGCTTCTGATATTAACTTTTTAACGTCAGCAAAGAAAGTTTAGAAACGCAGTTGTCAAGAATCATAGTTCAGTACTACTTCAACTTAAGTTTTTTTTAATATACCTTTGCTTTTTGACTTTTAATATTCTAAGGTCATTTTGTTCCGATATACTTGCTTAGTATATAACGAAAAAAAAAAAA